CACAGGAGTCTGTAATTATACAGAGGTATGGGTGTCACTGTTTTATGTAGACAAGTTTTTACCTCATTCATCCCTGAAGACACATTTGAACTCTTCCAAATCAAAGGTTGGAATAGTTCATTATGAAATTTCAGAGATGAATGAGTTAAATCTTAAACCTGACTAATATGTTTAGGATATGCCTTTAGTCCAGATTAAATAACAAGTCAGACGAGAAATAGGAATAGAAAATAATCCAGATTTAAAACGTAATGCAGGATCAACAGTTTATATTACAGTGGTAAATGTCATGTATTTTACTTATGCACTGTAAACCCATTTGTTTATTTGTATGGTTACACTAAGGGTGAATATAACAGTGAAAATGTTACCACAACTTATAACTTATTTATTATAATAATATAGGTCTGATTTAAGAACAAACTACACATGTTTTGCAGAACATGATATGCTGACTAAATGCAATAACGATAAGACTCAATTGCACATAGAAACGCAAAATCAAATTTATCTCAAAATAATAGCCAGAAATGAACCATTAAATGCATGGATAGAGATTTTCTGCATGAAAACCTTCAATTCCAATATTTATGTTTCTTTAATGAGTATGAATTAACTGTTTATCATTAATAACAAATAAAAGTTATAATAATTGATCTTATAATGATGAACATCCGTTAAGTCAAGAAAATTCTGTGGCCTGAAGTAACGTTTATTGTCTGTACAGTATCAACAAAGGGCAGAGCAATGTTCCACTGTCTTTATAACAACAAGGCATAGAAAAACTCAGATAACAAAGCAGATTCTTAATAACAAAAATTGGAAGCAATTGAGAACTGACTGACTTTACATTTTAAAATAAGACACATTAAAAAACGTGTACATGTGTATATCATGTGCAGGTTTGAGGAAAAATATCATAATGATTTTTATTGCTATACATGTATACCCTTGCCTCTAATCAGGGCTGTGTTGAAATCTTTTGGAATGCAACTTTACATGTAACCTGCTATACCAAATCTAGGTTTCAAGTGTCGTCTGCATATGGGAGCCTACAAACTCCGAAAGTCGTCTGCCTATGGGACCCTACAAACTCTGAAAGTCGTCTGCCTGTGGGACCCTACAAACTCCGAAGGTCTTCTGCCTATGGGACCCTACAAACTCTGAAAGTCATCTGCCTATGGGACCCTACAAACTCTGAACGTCGTCTGCCTATGGGACCCTACAAACTCCGAAAGTCGTCTGCCTATGGGACCCTACAAACTCCGAAAGTCGTCTGCCTATGGGACCCTACAAACTCCGAAAGTCGTCTGCCTATGGGACCCTACAAACTCCGAAAGTCGTCTGCCTATGGGACCCTACAAACTCCGAAAGTCGTCTGCCTATGGGACCCTACAAACTCCGAAAGAAATCTGCGGTTCCTGCAACAATAGCTGGTATTTCTTTTCTTTACCTTTTTCGTAACATTTTTTCTTTCAGTATTTCTCTTGACAAACATGCTCCGGTGAAACTTGATTGTACAGCCAAGTGGCTCTGTATTGCAGTTCATCGTGTAAATAAACTGTTAATATGTAAAAAGTTATTTAATATGTATATAAGTACAGTAAGTATATAAACACATCCTTGCATTGGGATTTTGTGTATAAAGAACGGTACCTAGTGGGTATAATACACAATGGTAATGTATAGACTGTGTGTACAATTATGTTGATAGCCGGTCTGTTGTAATATATAAAGCTAGTCGGAGACACCAAACATTCCTCATACTACCCCCCCTGGTCTGTCGGAGGCTTAGTAATGCAAACAACCTGTTGTCTATTCTTTATTTGAAGACAAACAAATGGCGTAAGACTATTGTGAGGTTTATTATACATGATGAACCATTAACATTATCAAACGTCATTTACAGGAATCGGTTAATGAACGGGACCCAATGTCACACAACGCTCTGTGTCAACACTTCAGAGATAGCATTCCTCTCAGGTTGACCATTTACAAACAGAAAATATTTAATGCTGGTCTGTTTATCAAAATATGTACGCCTTTTTAACTGTGGGTGAATACAAATATTTTTAAGATTGTTTCAAGCATGAGTGAAAATAATGAAGCATTATTCCACATGAATGAAATATTTGGTAATCAATCGGAAACCCTCAAGGTAAAGTGTCCCACAACCTTTTAAATGTGTATGAGCTTTAAAAAGTTGTTTTTCTTTTAAATGCAATTTTTCCTCTATATTAGTTCAAAGACAATTATAAGTAACAGGTCTTTTTTAGGAGTTAGAACACTTCTAAATTATCTGTAGAAATGTTTGTTTTTGCTATTATCACGACCAGTAGCACATCGGTTATATATATACATGTACAATGTATATACGCAGTCTGCTTTATATTCAAGTGGTCCTGGGGTCCTGAGCAAAAATCTTTTTGTGAAAAAGGAAATTACAATATATTTATTCTGTGTATTATACTCTTTGCTGTATTCAATGGGCAAGTTCAACTTCGGGTCAGAAAAAAAGCAGATTTACAAATGAATTGAAATATACAACACAGAATGCTGAGACTCGCTACGTTAAGTTTCCATTTCATTACATTTTTACTCTCAAAACCATTTTGACAGGGGCCTGTGCCTTGTGACTTCAAGACAATTTCACACACAGAAAAAAATATGATTCTGGGGAAAAAAAGCAGAATTATCTAGTGGAAGGGGCCTCTGTACTACCAGGCCCAAAATTCATCTCAGACCCAGACTCTATTTCCTACACTCTATTTTGATACACTTTTTATCTTGTTCAAAATGAATCATACCTGAAAAAGCAGTTATATATTTAATTCATGACGCAGTCATTTTTGTAGTCATGCAAATGAGGCCACATCACCACGCAAATTTTATTTCCACTTCCGAAATCTTAAATCGGTAAACATTGTTTGCAAAAAATTGTTTGCAAAAAAAATATAAACTTTGTTTTGCAGTGATTTTCCAATTTACATCAATTTTAAATGGAAAAAGAAGGAAAGATGACTTACAATCAATCAAAACCGATATTAGACAACACAAAAAATAATACAAGATTCTATTATTACTAAATACATAAAATAAATATATTAAATGAATTTGTTTAAGTTGACATTTTGAAAAATCAATCAAATGTGCAGTTTTGAAAAATTTGTTTCAATAATTAATTTGACCATCAAAGATTAAAATTGAAATAAAGAGCAAAGTATTTGTTGGTGCGGCTACAATGGAGAGTTTGTTTAGTACATTAAAGTTGTTTTTCTTTGAACACTGATTTAATTTGAGACATAGAAGCATATGACGGCTACTTCCGGAAGGTGAAATTAAAAAAAAAAAAAAAAAATTGTTTTCATTTTGTATATTTCACACAGGTCTGTGGCAGTCACCCGTAATTTCAACAGTTTTCTATTGATGCGAGTATGAAATCACGGATACTGCATGGAAACCGATAACACAAGGATATATTAATTATGAACATAGTAAACCTACACATCAAATATCTTTTTTTTACGTGTCCAGCCAGGCCATTTCTGGGTCAAAAATTGACCCCAAACGTAAAATTGTATTGCTTTTGTATCTAAAAAATGTCTTAAAAATTTCCCAATTTCAAACTTGTTTGTAAACAATCTTTACTTTGTATTCAGATGACATGCAACATTTAAATGAAACAATCGTTCATAAATAACAATGCTTTGCCAGTTTGGTCTTTTAGATGATAGTTTGCCAAAAAAAATAGTATTCGGTGCATGTATATGAAAATATTTATGAAAATATTAATTTGGTTTACTACGACATACATTTTTCCTAGTTCTAAATCCATAATAGTAAGAAACAACCTGCCAGCACTGTGTGAAGTAATCTGCTGATACATTTATCTGTACAGTAAAAGCTACATATGTAATTTTCATATAAAGCAGTTTCAGAATATTTGAAACATCATCATTTTTTTATGGGGCATTAATATAAGAATCAAATAATGTCATACTGGCATGTTTATATTCTGTGTACTTTTTAACATTCCTTTATAACTAAATAAAAAAAAGTGTCAATAAAGCTGATTCAGAGGCAGCTAGGTCAGGGTAAAGGATTGTTTAAAATAAGATATTAAAATAAACTTTTACATTGATAGACTCTAATATTTCTTTTCTAATTTCTTGATTCCTTTGATTATTTTTCAACAGCACAGTATTAAATGACATTTATGAAAACTCAACATGTTTCTGGAAACATAGTGTTATTCAATGAGTTAAATTTCATTTGTAACATTCTGTTGATGATTTATTCATGAAAAATTATTTCCTGTTTCAAAATAACTGACGATCAGTATCTCCTTTTAATTTTTTTATGGGACGGAGATATTTTGGATTAATTATTTCTTTGATAATTTCAAAGATAATTAATTGTAGGTAGGTTTTTTTTAATCATTACGTTCATTAAAAGGTATGCCATATGTGGCTAAAAAGTCAAGTGTCTGACTATATCATATTCATTTTTCTTTTGAATATTGCAATAAGAATATGCATTTTACTGAAAATACAACTAGCTTCTATGCAAATCTAGAAGGATTATCACACATACCTTTCTTCTTGCTCTTCCTAGTTTTCTCTGCTCTATAGTATTGCCACCCTTTTTTATCAATGCAAAACGTAGGCAATTGCCTGAATTGGTGTTGACAGTAAACAGGTCACAAAAAATGTGTTTCTCAGACACACAAAATGAAACAGGTGACGGACAGTGACTTACTTGAAATCCAATATAGTAACGCACGTGTTTATCATGTTTGACAAAACAACAACAATACCTCTCAGGATGACAACACACGACAAGTGATACCCTCCGAACGTCAGGGTGATAAAATTGATTTCTCTGCTGGTTACCTGTAATAACGGGACCGTTCTATGCCAACACTTGACTGATTTTTTTTCATATAAAAGGATTCAATCATTATATCAGCATTTGATCTTGACACAATTGTTAAGTCTTACCTGTTGGCACAGCTGAAAAGAATCCATTATGATCACATTACGGACAGTAAGTGCGTGAGATCTTGTTGAGTGACATCTCCATGTAAACTAACCGTACTTCCGGTTAAAAATATTATTTTCAACTGCATAAGCGGCAGAAACGGAAGTAGAAAAGGCCCCGATTTAGCATCACAAGAATGTAGGGAATCCCACCAATCAACATGAGCCAAGTTGAGAGACGTCGGTTTGTACTTGTTCGTGTATGATTGGTCCATGAACTGATCGTGGTGCTATTTGATTGGCCAATACAAAGGACAGGGAATCCCCTCCGAACACACTGTGCCTCGCTAGGCTCTAACGTCAATCAACACATGTTTTGACAGTTAGGATTTTCTTTTTCTGCATTATTGTACCACAGTCGAGGGTTGCACCAACAGGAGGAAGATGAGGTGGAAATTACTGTATATAGGTGTTTTGGGACTTATTTTAATGTCGGGTAAGGTTACACTGTGTGCATTTTATCACATTTTATTACACTTGCCCACACCCCCCCTTCCCAACCGGCATTTTGCATGTGGCACAGTTTGATTTTGTTAGCATTTCAAACTCCATTTCACATTTCATAGAGAATTGCATTGTATGTTACATTTGTACAAAACTAAATAATAATGTTGTTGATTTATGTGCTGGCTGTTAAATTAGAAAATGTTCGTTCAAAAAAATCCAAGGGCACCCCCTTACTCTGGTTCTGTAACGTGTATGATGGCTGTGTCTGAAAATAGCTTGTGTGTATGCTTCAAGCTTAGTTGTTTGAAGGGAATGTTATGCGCATATCTGTTTATCAACCCTGTATTTTCGGGCCGTGTTTTGTCTGTATAAATACAATTTGTTTTGCTAAATGGCCAAAAAATTGAGAACACTAAATCACCTTTGTATACCAGCATAATTCCACACTATATTGTTGCCATTTACTTTTTGTATGCCTCTAGAG